CCTCCCATCCCTGTGCACACTTTTTTTCCCCCTCTTAAAGGAAGCAGGAGCAGCAAATGCAGGGATTAGGGAACGTCTGCGAAGATGGATGGAGAAGGAGGCATCCCATTAGGCTTGCAAGATTTGTGGCTGCAGAGTAGAGAAATGGTGCAGACCAGTTTGGGAAGTGGCATGCATTCCTTGTAAGTGCCCAGTTGCCTCCAACCTGCAAGTCCCCTGCCTTTGGTTTGCATGTTCAGAATTGGAAAGGGGTGGTGTGCTTCTGAAAGCTGAACTGCATGAGGAAAAGGACTTGGACACCGGAAATCAAACAACACCCAGCCTCCAGAGCCTTTGCTCCTATATTGCATCCACATGCATGACAGAACGGCCACTCCACACATCTCTTTGGGTCATTTAGCTCACAGCTGAGAGCCAGTGTGGCACAGTAGTTTTGAGTGTTGAACTACAACTCTGGAAACTAGGGTTCAATCCCCAGCTCAGTCATGAAACTGACTGGGTGACCTTACGCAAGCCATATGCTCTCAGCCTCAGGGGAAGGCAATGGCAAACCTCCTCTGAAACTTTTCGAATAAAACTCCATGATAGGTTAACCTTAGGTTCACCATAAGTCAGAAAGGACTTGAAGGCACACAACACCACCAAGAATGTGTGAACCCACCTGCCACACTGAAAAATGCTGCAGTCTGAGAAAATGCAAAGGGGAAAGTAAGTCCCTTCTATGAACTAAAGACTTTATCACCATAAAAATAGGATTTTAACAGGATAAAAACATCCTTGGAAAGTATTTATACATGACATCATGGCCAACCTGCTCCTGCCTTGCATGCCATTTTATAGGGCACTTTTTCATTGCTGGGCAAAACCTGTCAATAGGCTCTCAATCTTGCTGATATTCCATTACTGCCTTTGTGCAGTAGGTTCCTTCAGCTGCAGTTCAACATCTGAGGCAGTCATTCTGTGTGGAAGGATGTGATTCCATTGCTCTCCCTCTTATAGCGATCTCAACCACCAACACCATCCAAAAATGGCTGCTGTGTGCAATTCACAAAGCAGGCAGCTTCAGGAGGCAGTTGGTAGCCATGATCGCTTGCTTTCCCCTGAAGTGCGGGTCTGTTGTGTGAATGTTTGCACAGCAGCCCCATGCATTAGGAGGAAGGGGAAGGAGCAGCAACTGCAGCTTCCAACATCTTCCCAAAGCTGGCTGCCACTGTGTGCAGATTTACATAGCAACTGGCTTCAGGAGGTAGTTGGCAACCACAATCACTTGTTTCCTCCTTCCTCCCAGAAGTTGGCATTTGGCAATGTAGAAAACAGATCGCACAACCACAGATCGCCAAAGCACTATCATGGGGGAAAGTGTGATGAACAATGATGCCAAACCAGTATGCTTCCATTCTTAAACTAGCGCGACTGTGGCAGGATGGCAGGCTGTTGTGATAAAGTCCTCCAGTCTGGGATGGCTGCTTTTATTATGTGTGCAAGTCACCAAACAGCAAATCTGCAGGTAGAGAAATACTCTTGGTTGTGTGATCCCTTCTCTCTGAAGGAGGCTGGTTAAAACCGGAGCCTCTTTTGCAAGGATTCAAAGACCTTATCTGAGCTTGATTTTTTTTAAGAGGCAGAAGTTAACTGAGGATATTTATCTGCTTGGCAGGCGCACAGTACAGGCTTTTTAATCTTGATACACTGTATGATTAAAGTTTGGGGCCTGAGTTGTAACCTGCTCCAAGCATTCACGGTAGAAATTCAAATAAACCATCTTTCCAGACTTTACAGTGTTGAAAGGAAGCAGGGAAGGAACCACAAATGGCATTTGAGGTGCTCAAAACTCATCTTGGGATCCATTCAAGCATGAGAGAAGACACCATATCTACCTATCCACTCATCCAGATGCGTCCCCATTATTATTATTAGCCAGTGTGGTGTAGTGGTTTGAGCATTGGATTAGGACACTGGGAGACCAAGATTCGAATCCTGGCTCAACCATGTAAACCCTCTCTCAGTCACGCTCTCTCAGTCTCAGAGGATGTCAATGGCAAACCCCCTCTGAAGAAACTTGCCAAGAAAATCTCATGATGGATTTGCCTTTGGATCGCCATATGTTGGAAATGACTTGAAGGCACACAACAACAAAGCTATAATAATAGTAGTAGTAGTAGTGATATGCCACCTTTTTCCCAGGCAATTTACAAAAGACAAAAACAGATAGTTAAAATTCACAAAATACCTAAGTTACACAATGATTAAATTATCAAAAGTTTGAAAAAACAGTTTAAAACATAAACCATCAAAATAAACAAAATCAGTGCAACAAAAGTAATAGATAATTCAGCACTTTCTTTTGGTGGGATGGGCCTTGCACCCTCAGTCCTCAAATCCCTGTCGAAACAGAAAGGTTTTCACCTCTCTGTGAAACAAAAGTAAGAAAGGTGCCAATCTAGCTGCTCTGGGAAGGGAGTTTCAGATCCTGGGGGCAGCCACTGAAAAGGCCCCGTCTCCCTTGTTTCCACCAGATAGATCTGTGAAGATGCTGGGACACAGAACGGCCTCCCCAGCAGATCTCAAAACCCAGGCAGGTTTGTAAGGGAGAATGCTGTTGCTGCAGTTGTGTGCCTTCAAGTCATGTCTAACTTAAGGCAACCCTAAGGCAAATCTATCCTGGTGTTTTCTTGGCAAGTTTTGTTCAGAGGAGGCTTGCCGTGGCCTTCCTCTGAGGCTGAGAAAGTATAACTTGCCCATGGTCACCCAGTGGGTTTCATGGCTGAGTTGAGAATCAAACCCTGGTCTCCGCAGTCGCAGTCTAATACTCAAAACACTACGCCAAGGGAGAATATGGTTCTTCAAATAACCTGTACGCAACCTTCTTTCCCTGTTGGGGCTACAGTTGGCATCGCCCACCTTCTGGCCACATCCAAAGCCACCCATTTTCCCTGTGCTATGTACATCAATGTGCAAACAGGCATGCACACCCAAGCAAAGACCCTCTGGAAGAGCAGGAGGAGGGATGCTTCTCAACTGGGTTCCCGAAAACTCCTTCTCTCCTGGGTTGGCCCTGCAGCGAGGGAAGATGGCAGCCTGAGAGGTCACCCGTTCCTCCCCCTCCACATTGGGAAGATAAAGGCCAGTGCTGCAGACAGACCTGTTTTGCAAAGGCAGCCACTTTGTTGACATGCCAAGGGGTTCCTATAGCAACTGGGGAATCCAAGGGGCAGCTGGCTGAATGGAGTCTGGATAAACTGAGGCAGCCACGGACACAGGGGGGACTGGCGAGGCTGCCATCCCAACTGGCGGCGAGGGCAAAGGTTGGCAAGTCGAGCATGGCGTGACCCATCGCTGCCCCCCCCCAAGGCCTCCACAATGAGGATGGGCAGCTTGGCAGGAGGGGGTGAGGGGGAGCTTCGGTCATGATCACCACCCCATCACATCGGCTGCCCTGTTTTTCCCCCCAGTGAATAAAGACATGTATCTGACAGGTGACACTTCCACACTGTCTGGCAAGGCAGAGAACCTTTGAGATCTACTTGCAAAATTTGCAAAATCCACTGAGAGCCTACAAGATGGAGGGCTAGACTTATCACAACATCATCACCACCACTGACTTTCTTCTCCAAAGGTTTTCTTTGCAAGATTTCTTCCCAGGAGATTTGCCACTGCTTTCATTTGAGGCTGAGAGAGGATGACTTGCTCAAGGTCGCCAAGTGGGATTCCATGGCTGAATGCAAACTCAAAACCTGGTCCTAGTGCAACACTGAAACTATTGTGTCATCCTCTTCCGCTGTTTGAAAATGTGCCACTCTCCCTATCTGTCCACACACATCCCAATCTAGAACCCAATGTGGGCAAAAGAAATGCCACCGTTAGCCTGGTTGCAAAATCTATGCTCGAATCATTAATCCAAAACCTCAAGACATCCAAGGCACAGCGAGGGCAGGCGCCTTCTTCCCACTGTGACAGCACCACCCAGAAGGCACACAGCTTTTGCACACTGAGCCGTGTGGGAAGTGAGCCTTCCTCCTTGGCACAGACCCACAGGGGCTTGCCCCAAACACCTCCCTGTACCAGGCTCCTGCTGACAGAAAGGGAGAGGGACCTGGAGCCAAGCAGGGAGCAGGCAGCGCTCCAAGAAGCCGGGGCAGGCGAGGGCAAAAACACTGCATCTCCAAGCTTTGCTTCAGCTCAGAAACTGGCTGCAAGATTTACGAGGCCTTTCTACTCCCTGGCCTTCCCTCAGCTGCCAAGTTCAGGCTTTGGTTTGGGTCTTTTCCCCTAAAAGAGGTGGGCTGGCTGGAGAAGAACACAGATGCATTTATTTATACCCACAGCTCTGTATATATTCTGCGCTGGGGCACCAGGATGAAGGGGTAGTCTGCAAGGAAGAAAAGCAAAATGCAGCTATCTGTATGGCCATGGAAACCCACAGGCTGACAAGTCACACTCTCTCATCCTCAGAGGGAAGCATAGGCAAACTCCCTCTGAGCAAACCTTACCAAGAAAACCCCTTGATAGGGACACCATAAGTCTACAATGACTTGATGGCACAAAAAACCCCACCCAACAACAAGAAAACCCCATGAAATCTATGGGCTCTTCCAAAAGCTTCTTCTCTTTTTCTTCTCAACTACAGCTCTTGTCATATTTATTTTATTTTTATTTTTATCCCGCCTTTCTCCCCCCAAAAGGGACCCATATACAGTTTTATGAAGATTTAGCCAATTCAGTCATCAATCCAGCAAGTAATGTTTGTCTCATTTGATTTCTTCAATGGCATCACTGCCTTGGCAAGCTTGACAACATGCGCCATCCTAGCCTGGCTCCCATGCTCAGCATCAGCAACTGGAGACACACAATGCACAACTTATGCAGAGAATTTAAGGTGAAACCCCGCTCTCCCCAGCCCCCAGCCTTTGCTCTGCTCAGGCCCATCTGCTTGCCAGGCTAGCTTCCACCAGATCACACAGTTCACTGAGCCTCCACATCTTCTCTCTACAGAGGAGCCCAGAGATTTGGAGAAGCGGGGGGAGAAAAAGCGTTGCCCCTCTTGCATGCAAAGCCCAGAGGGAAACCAGAGGGCCGAGACTGCAGCTGCTGCTGTTCCTGCTATTGCAGCAGGAGCGCAGGAACTAATTCGGATGGAGAAAAAGAGCCTCTCTCGGGCAATGCTTCCTCCATCTCAGTGTGGCGGGTGCTTCCTAGGCATCTCTGCCAAGTTGTGGCCAAGGGGATGGGAGACCTTTTGCCCGTCGCTTATATTCCTTCTCACCCAAAACAACCCATGTTGGTCAACCGGTGACCCAGAATTTGTCAAGGCGCAGCAGCAATGAGAAAGGCTTTCTTCCACAGGTCTAGAGGTTAAAGCAATGGGAGACTTTTTCCCCCTGCTTCTCTCTTTTTATCTCTTAAGCAGCTGTTAAAGACACCAGTCCAAAACACCCTGCAGAAATAAACCACTTTGATACCGCTTTAACTGCCCTGGCTCAATGCTAGGGAATTCCAGGGACTGTAGATTTGTGAGACATTGAGCCTTCTCTGTTGGAGAGCTCTGGTGCCACAATAAAACTACAGTTCCCAGGATTCCCTAGCACTGAGCCAGGGCTGTTAAAGTGGTCCCAAACTGGATTATTTCTGCAGTGTGTTTGGGACCACAGTGGACTAAAGGTTGTGGTTGTTGTTGTGTGCCTTCATTTCCAATTTATGGCAACCCTAAGGCAAACCTTAAGTCTTCTGCAAGGGCACCAATAATTTTTAGGAAAAAAACCTGAGAACATCCTTCAGGCTGTGATGCATGATCTAACTTTCTCAATTTGTCAGGACAGCATCTTTTTCTACAATCCTTTGCCCCTGAGAAGTGACTGCCTTATTTTTGTCCCTTTTGTTTTGTATGCCTCCTTGGAAATCACATGCTCCAATGTTCATGTGACCTGTCCCACTAAATACAACGGTACGGTAAAATGGTGTCCCTTAGATAAAATGGCAAAATCAAGGAACTTATATATCAGAGGCTGAGATAGTGTGACTTGCCCAAGGTCACCCACTGAGTTTCATGGCCAAGCTGGGAATCCAACTCTGGTCTCCAGAGTTATAGTCCAATGCTTAAACCACTATGGCACGCTGGCTCTCAACCTTCACTGATATTGAACCAAATTGGTTATTTGGATGCCATTATCCCATTGTTTAAAATGCTCCTCTACCCAATATCTTTTTCTTTTTACCACTGAATAACTAAATGTCATCAGCAAACTTGGCCAACTCACCGCTCTCCCCCTAGTTCCCAAACAACTACAAAAAAGTTCAAAATTTGCAGACCTAGTACTGATTTTAGGGGGAGGGAAGGGAAAACCATGCATCTCTCCATTAAAAGAGCTGTGCCTTTCTTTCTTCTCTGTGCTATCAGCTCTTTAACCAGTCACCAGTCCATAAGAGCATTTCTCCTCTCATCCCATGACTGCTAAAGATGTTCACAAATGTTTGGCATGAGAGTTGAATGTATTTTATGTGAATAGTCAATTCTTCTATTAAGATTTCTTGTCTCCCTCCTGCCCCAGCGTGGAGAAGCCTTGCATTACATCTCCCCCAGATCAACTGGTTCTGTAGTCTACTTGGCATAAGAAGTGTTGGCACTCCAGCATGACTGGGCATCCCTGTCTGTAAATGTGAGATATGAGGGAAGTAGTAATCCATGGTTAAGCATTAGGAAAGGGAAAGACGTTCTACACGTGATCAGAGGCATGTTCTTTGCAGGTTCTGGCTTAGAGGCATGGAAAGAGGACCCAAGACTGAGCCTAGTTAAATCCTGACATCATGCTTCATTTTTTCCCCCATTTGGTCCCGAGAATCCTGTTTCTTGGCATCTTTAATCTTACCCTATGGAGTGAATCCTGTTAATCCCTCATCCCCACCACATGTTGTTTTTGTTCTGTGCCTTCAAGTTGTTTTTCATTTTAAAGGACATCCTATGGCGAACATAGTTTCCTCTTAGCAAGATATATTCAGGGGTTTGCCATTGCTTTCCTCTGAAGCTTAGAGTGTGTGACTTGCCCAAGGCCACCAAGTGGGTTTCCATGGCTGAGCATGGATTCGAACCCTTGTCTCCAGAGTCATACTTCATTGCTCAAACCACTACATCACATACAGAGTGCAAACCAAGAAAATCTGCTAGAGCGGGGAATGGGAAGAACTATCCTCTTGCAGCTTTCTCCACTCATTTTTTGCCTTGGCACAGAATGCGTTAGTCTCACTCGGTGACACCGCAGAGGCCTTGTGGCACCCAGGGCTCCAAAGAAATGACAAAAGGAACTGAGAATAAGAGAGCTCTGGTTTCCAAGGCAAACTGCCTGCAGGTAAAAACAAGCCAGCGGTCCCAGCTGTGTGCTTAGTGTTCTTTTCACACCTGTCAGTGATGGAGCACACCAGCCCTGGCCCATCTGTTGTGTGCTGCCCTTGGAGTCTTCTGTGTATGCGAGGAGGAAGGGCAAGCCAAGAGCCCAAAAGGGAAAGCACATGTTTGGGGCGCCCTCCTGGCAAACTGAGTCAGCATGGCATAGCAATTGATGCATTGGACTAAGACTCTGGAGAGCAGGGTTCAAATCCCTGCTCAGCCATAGAAACCTGCTGGGTGACCTTGGGCAAATTTCAGCCTCAGTAGCCACCAGAGGCAACCCTTTTTTGAACAAATCATGTCAAGAAAATCCCTTGAGAGCTTCACCTTTGTTGTTGTTGTGTGCCTTCAAGTCATTTGCGACTTATGGCGACCCTAAATCGAACCTATCATAGGGTTTTCTTGGCAAGTTTCTTCGGAGGGGATTTGTCATTGCCATCCTCTAAGGCAGGGGTAGGCAACCTGTCCCCTTTAAGGGCCGAGGGACTTCAGCTCCCAGAAGCCTCAGCCATGTTGGCCAATAGTCCCATGTTGGCCAATAGCTCCTGGGATTCTGGGAGCTGAAGTCCCTCGGCCCTTAAAGGGGAAAGGTTGCCTACCCCTGCTCTAAGGTGTGACTTGCCTATGGTCACCCAGTGAGTTTACATGGCTGAACCGGGATTCGAACCCTGCTCTCCAGAGTCATAGTCCAGTGCTCAAATCACTACACCATACTGGCTCCGATTCACCTTAGGGTTGTTATAAATTGGAGATGACTTGAAGGCACACAACAATAACAACCTGGTGACCCACCATCACTATCCCATTCCTTTGCAGTTTGGAGGATTGTATCACATCATTCTACCTTGCATTCTGGGATGCAAATAGGATTGCAAGCCTCTGAAGTCAAAATAGGGGGTGAGGGTGGGATTGTGAGAATAGAAAATTAAAAAGCCATGAAAAACTGAACCAAAAACCCAAAGGACAGAAACCAAAGGACTAAGCTTCCAAAGGAGGTCAGAGGATATACATACAAGGTCTCTAACCTCCATTGTTCATGTGAACATCCTCCCTGAAGGGTCCCTCCCTACCCCACACCACAAGCCTGGAAAAGTTACTGTTTTGGTAACCAGTATGCCTGACTTCTCCCCCAAACCCAATCAGAAAGCATAGTTCCTCTGCCACGGCGCATGCTTTCCCTTAGAAAAGCCACTCCTTGGGATGACAGCTCCCAGGATCCTCCAGCCAGATGGGAACTGTCGCCCACACAAGCTAACTTTGCAGAGCTCTGCCCACACTGCAGGCAAAGGCCACTGCAGGGTGACTGCAGAGGATGGCAGTTGTGCAGATCCGGATCCGTGTTGCCATGCCTGTGTTTAATTTTATACCGCTGTGCCAAGCCCACAGTGTGTGAAATGTCACCCTCGGAGGCTCAGGCAGCTGGCAGAAGGATGCCTAGCCAGAGCCGGACAGAGCCGGGCACCATCCGATCCCTCCCCACCACAACTCCGTCTCCTTGAGATGCTCTTTCCATGAATGATGGGCCCCACCGAAGGAGGTGGGTTGAGGCATAGCCTGCCTTGACAGGGCTCCCGGGGGACTAATGCTGGCATGTAAATATTAGATCCTCTTGTCTCCTCGGAGACCAATTACATAAATCACAGCGGCTCCCAGAGGACTGCCAGCTTCCACTTACTGTATCATCGTTAACAGCTTATTAGGGAGCAGCTGCTCAAAAAGAGAAAGAAGAGAGAGAGAAAGATGAAGAAAGAGAGGAGTCGTCGTTGTCTCCCTGTTGATGCATCTCTCACCTCTGACACCCAGCACGACACCCGAACGTTGTCTCGCCTCCTGCGATTTAAACCCAGCGCAGCTGCAAAGCCTCCGAGGTCAAGGCAGAGAGCGACAAAGAGAGTCTTGAGATGGTAACCTCATCAGGCTTGACAAGTGCCAGGGCAAATCTATGCCCTCCAAATGCCACGATTTAGCAGTCCCAATGAATCCTCTGCCATCCCACTTTTCCAGCTGCTTTGAAAACGTCCCAGTTTCGCTCTCCTACTACTACTTTCGTCCTTCATCCTCAGTTTACTTCCATGGCCAGAGAAGGCTCCTGTACCTATAATGGCTGTGTAGAAGAGGGAGGTTCATCAGGTCTTGGTTGTCACACAACCAGGTAACAGGCAACACCTGCTGAAATTCCCTCTTCTACACAGCCTTAAAGGTACAGGAGCCCTCTCTGGCTTTCACTCTGGCAACACCGTTCATTGCTGCAAACTGATTTCAAAAGGCAAAGGTAGTTTAGTAGGGAGCCAGCATAAATGGCATAGTGGTTTGAGCATTGGACTATGACTCTGGAGACCAGGGTTCAGTTCCCCACTGAGCTATAAACCCACTGGGTGACCTTGGACAAGTCACACATTCTCAGCTTAAGAGGAAGGCAATGGCAAACCTCTTCTGAACAAATGCCAAGAAAACCCCATGATAGGGTTACCTTGGGGTTGCCGTAAGTCAGAAAGGACTTGAAGGCACCCAACAACAAAGTCTGCATTCAGCTAACTCAGCAAGGAAGAGGACAGGAGAGGGATGAATCTTGCCCTTCCCAGTAGGCTTATGCAAAAGCAAACTGCTGCAGCCTCTCCTAGCTCATTCGTAACATCGGCCACCTTCCCAACTCCCTGGCATTGCTTGGCCACACATGTCCTGCTTTCCATCTGTGAAATGTTGGAGGGCATGCAAGTCCAGGGCTTTTGAGAGAACAATTCCTGCTGGTCATTGACCTAATAAAATACGTATATGTATGTTTGAGAGAACAAGGGAGAAGGGGGGCAGGGTTGCCAATGGACCTATCCTGGCCTGCTCTTGTGCCTTTAACAATGGCCTAGGGCACAGAAATCAGGTGAAGATGCTTTCCAGGATGCAGATGAGCATTTGTCAATTCTTGCACATCCCTCTGAAGTTAATCCTTGCAAATTGCTCCTAGCTGACAGCCCATTCCCCCTTCTTAACCACTTCCCCCTTCGCCCCCAAACACCTCTTTCTATTCTAGGTTGCTTTCGTGTGTAAGGGAAGTCGACTTCTTAAGAGATCTCCCCCTTCACCTTTCCAATGCAGGAGGCCTAGCAGCAACAGGCCCCTCTCCCAGGTACAACCCAGAGCCTGCATTCTGCCAGAGAGAGCCGTCCAAATCCGATTACGCTGGCATTAAAAGGTGAATCTAATTTGGATCTGCCACCCCTTGGCAGCCTCTCTTTGTGCGGCTCCATCTCAGCTCTCCCAGCAGGCATCCCAAAGCTCAGTCCCAAAGACAGGAGGGGCGGCCCAGCCGGGGGAAATCATTGCCTTCCAAGGCTGCAAAAGCTGCTTCAGATCCCATCTCTCGCACGCAGGCAGCTGGGAAGGGATGGGAGAAACCCTAGAAGCAATTAGGCAGTGGGGCAATATACATCATGGCCCAAACATCTGCTAATAATGTCTCTGGTGAGCCATAAAAGCCCAGGGTTTTTTGGCCCAAGAATATACAAGGAGATGGAGAGGAGGGGAGGAGGAAGGAAGGATGCAAAGCTTGCCTCTGTTCCCCATTGTGAGAGGTTTCAATAGGGCTTTCCAGAGTCAGCTCCTCTGGCATTCCTCCACTCTGGTGGGAGGTGGGTTTTGCAAGGGCTGAGCAGTTGGAATCCTAATGGGAAAGACAAAATAATATATAATGTCTGTGTATGTGTAGTTGTGGGAAGAGGGAGGGAGTAAAGACAATCTCTGCATGCTCGCTTGCCACTGTAGAATTTTGTCGCACTCTCGTGGCAGGCGCCAGTTATTACAACAACTTATGGGTTGTTGTTTTTTCTTTCTTGTTTTTAACCATTTCCTTTGCAAACTCCAGCTTTTTTAAAAAATGAAGAGGTTTATTGCGCAGACAATTACAGTCGGTCCTCCGCATTTGTGGCTTTGGCTTTTGTCAATATGATTATTTGCAGTTTTGATTAATATGTTCTCTCTAGGAATCTCTAAGTCCTCCGGAGCAACTCTGCCAGAGGTTGACCAGAGAGTTGTGCTGGAGAACCTAGAAGTTCCTAGAGAGAACATATTAATCAAAACTGCAAATAATCAAATGTGCAGAAGCCAAAGCCGCAAATGTGGAGGACCAACTGTAACTGTCTACTCAAGAAACCTCTTCATTTTTTAAAAAGCTTGCACACTTGTAGTGTCTCTCTTGCTCCAATTAAAATTGTGACTACCAACACTTTACTTCCCAAACCCACCACTGGTTACACACTGCTGCAGTGTATCTTTTGCTAAACATGTACCCAATAAACACCCTAGTAATGCCAGATCATATTTGTAAGACCAATACAAAGCATAGCCTCACCTTCCTAACAAAGAGGATAATAACTATAGACAACAAAAAAGCCAAGGTAATACACACACCTCTGAACTTTCAGCTGCCAAAGGAAAGACACATACACAACAGAGGCACAATTTGCTTAGAGATTACAGCTTAGCTGTTGTATCTTTATGACATTCTGTCTTTTTTGCCTAACTCTGGTCACTTGATTTATGCTACTGATCATTTATAGCAGCGTAGACAACTGAATCTTTACCTATCAAGACAGTAACACACAAATCAGTGATAACAACAGCCTGTCATATGCCCATCTCTGTCTTTCGGGATTCATAAGGCAGACTGAAAATCACATTTCCAAACTTCTCTAGGAAACATATTCAGGACTAGCCGTGTTGGCCATGCAGCAAAGTACAAGATCCAAAATCTATAAAACAATAATAACTTTATTGAACCAGCTAAATAATACAAAATACATCATGCAAGTTCTCAAAGCTTCACAAGCGTCTTCATCAGGCAGAGATGTTAAAAATCATACACGAAAAGAAAAGTGATGATGTATTAGAGCCACAGGCCTATATTTTGTTATGGTACTTCTGTTGTCAGTAAAAATGAGGTATTCATTTTTATTTTTATTTTTTGGAAAATGTTTTTATTAGTACTTTTCATTGAAACATAACAAAACATAAATGCACTTTCCTTCAGTAAGTTTCACTTTTGTTGCAAAATATTGTTAAGCAAAGGATTTCACTTCCATTTGTTTGTTTCCAGTGCAACTTTCTTTCCACCTCTGCTATTTGATGCCTCCTTCCCCCTCATACACCGTTTCTCATCTGCTATCTCTGTAACTTAAATCTCATTATCTATCAATGTTATTCATTACTTCTAGATCATTGTTGCTTTGCAATGCCTAC